CTAAATTTATGAAGTCGTTGAAAAAAAAAGAGTATAAAAAAACTTTTGATAAATGGATTGAACGAATGCATTTATGTATAAATAACCACGGTGATTATTTTGAACATTTAATTTAATGAAAAACGTGCTCAACTTGCTTCAAAAATTTTTTTGTTACTCATTTACTGTTTTTGCTTTATTTTTAATATTATATATTGTTTAAAGCTTTATGAAATATAGAATTATAGAGCTTCACTTGGGCTATGAGAATATATAATAAAAAAATTTCAAAAGGCTTCTGTAAAAAAATGACAGGGTCGCCGCCACTACTTTCGGTATGCCCTAAGTAAAAACAATTTTTGTTTTTGTTTATAAGCTAAAATAAATTTCCATAAAATTTAATTTTAAAAGTAATTTTAACTTATTATTTCATGTAAAATAACCATTTGATATTGATGTTTTTTTTTTCTTTTATAAACATTAATTAAATGTCTATATTTATTATCACATATTCTCTCTTATACTCCGCATTCTATTTATGAAAAAAGAAAGGACGAACATTCTCGTCAAGACAAACTAGAGAATCAAAAAGATAAGTGGAATTTATCGGAACTGGCTGAAAAGTCTCTGGAATTGGTGATACTTGGAAGTAATATCTCAAATCGAACTTATTCAACGGAATCGGGCTGTTTTCTACTGAGAAGAACAGAAAATTGGATCGGATACTGCGGAAAAAAGTTCTGGAGCATTTCAGTTCGAAATATTCTATTCCCGCCCGACACTACGCGGAAGTGAAGGGTTGGATTTTGTCGGACAAGTTTATAATAAAAAGATATATCTGTTAAAAGTTTTGTTTTCAAATCTTTTTTGATATAATTACTGGAAATTTTTGAATCAGATGACACGATTCTGTCTCTGATCTTGTTGCCTCTTATCTCTTTGATTATGCAATTATAATAGATTATTTTATTCGTCTTGAATTGTAAATCTCTCAGTCAGAATCTTTGGTGTTAAGTTGTGCCCACTTTTTGGATTGGCATATAAACAAACGTTAAAGAAGATTGAATATTTGATGATAAATATTTTTGAGTGGATCTAATAGTTATTTGTATTTTGTTATTCTTCAAATATTTCGATAAGAAACATTTTCCAATAGATGAAATTTTCATTTATTAAATAGATTATCAAAGATAAAGATTCTAATGTCTTTATTCCTGATATAATCTGAAACGGTTGCTGTTCGAGATGTGTTTTGACTCTGTGGATAGAATAAAGTCATCACATCATCTTTCAACAAGGAAAATATCTTAACAACAATCTATTATCGCAAGTGTCAACATCTATTTTTTCTACAGTTGTTATCATTTCTTTCAATTTCGCATACAGAAACAGTCTTACTTATTTTGCCTTAACATAATGTCGTTCAATACTGGTACTATTTTCTTATTGTTGCTCTTCACGACTATCATTAGTCTTATTCAATCAAAAAAGCCTAATCGTACATATATTGTTCGTAAAGATCATATTATGAGCGATTACCGATTGGCTGAATTATCTTTTTATGATTCATTCGGTAAACAACTTCAATATCGGATAAAACTTATTATTCTGATATTCATGCTGTTGCACTAGTTGCTTATCCATTAAAAGAAATCATTGCTAATTTAGAAGGTGAATGGGAGATAGAAATTGACAAAGCATCTTTTCCTATTCTTGATAATCGTTCAAATCAATTGATTGATGGAAACATTACTCGAAGTTTTTATTTATTACGTGCACAGTATTCTATCTCATGGAATGGAACAACTATCATAATGAAAGATCATTCTTTATCGACACATATAGAATTACGCGATGTAAAACAGAATAATTTGTTAGCAAAAATTCGACATACTAGTGGCTGGTTTCAACGAGCAACTTCAAAATATCAATTAGATGTCTTCTCAAATAAAGTGTCTGATGCGGTTTATTTTTTTGCACTCGCCATCATGGATCATGCATTTATGATAAATTTAGAAGATGATTAACGAGAATAATATTCTGATAATATTTGTTATCAAAAAATAACATTTATTGTTTTGTGTATGAACATTATTTCAAAAAAAGTTAAATATTAATCCTTACTCTCTACAATAATGAACAACTATTTACATAAATAAAATCTACTTCTTGATCTAATATCGAAATTTTTCAAAAGGTTAACGACTATTTTTCCGAATATCTTTTGATAAGTTCAAGATATCGAACGGTGGTTTTCATCATTCAATAGTACAAGCTAGGAACCATGTAGCCGTTGTTCATTCTTGATCGTTATCTTTTCTCATGTCACGTTTCAAAGGTGTTCATGATCATCTGAAGTCAAAACATACCAAATTGTAGCCTGTCATCTGCTAAATCTATAATAAAACTTTCAGAGCATTCTAACGTATCCCGCGCAGGTGAGGATCTATTGAGAATGTTCTCATCGTGATAAAAAAAGATCTAGTTATAGACTCAACTCGAAAATCAACCCATTTCTTCGTTCTTATAGAATTACGTGGAAAGAACTTTATTTCGTTACCCTTTGCATATTTAGTATTCATGTGAGTAAAGTTAGCACCATATTCGGCCTTTTCTGTCCTGATTCGTTATATTACTTGAGTTATATCTAAATAGGGTGCAATTAGATGCAGAATTGTTTCCTAAATTGAATAGTGCAGGTTTTCGAGACTACTTTTCGTAGCAAGAGCGCGAGGTATTCAGTAAATATTGGTTTTTTGAGAGATGACCTCTTTTTATTTATTACATATGGCGTTATCTGTTATTTTTGTGCGCAGACATTTTGTGATATGTTTTAGTTATTCCGTGAAAATCGTTTTTTTATTGGTAATGTATGGTTTTTTTGTTTAGTTTGTTTGACAACAAGGTGAAAATAGGTGATTGTGCACTTGTTTGTATATAGAGAGATTTTATAGAAAAATACAGACAAATAAAAAAAACTCCAAAAAAGTAAATCTCGCTAGTTGCTGTAGATGGCAAGAGCGTGGAAAAACAGTTGATGTTATCTGTAGTTGTTATAGCACGGTTAGATTAAGACAAGATTTGAAGTTGATGAATAAGATTATCATTGAGGAGCATTTTTCAAAATGAATTTTGAGAATTGTGATTTATACAAGTATAAGGTAAGACTATAGATTTTACATGTGATGTTTACGTGTCTATGATGGAACGAGATAGATAATATCATGGGGAGGCCAGTAGAATCGAGCAACTAACGGTATAATATGAAAAAAAATGAGAATGGGAAAAGTAGAGAGAAGATTTGAGGATAGAGATAGTTATATATACATAGGAATAGTGCGAAATGATCTGGACACAGTAGAGTATTGATGTGATTTTAATAAAGTGAAATCTAAAGTTGCAATTGTTTTCGATCAAATAGGACTTGTTTACCGAAATCATTTTTGATCCATCGAATGCAACTTCAACAATATCGACATCGATTGTATTTTGTATAAATCTAGAATTAGAAGCGTCGCTTTGATAGATCAAAGACCCCGTCGGATTAGGTCGTAAATCAGCCTTTACTGACAGTTGTATAAAGAGATATTATTAGAATTTGAATTGGACAATTTTAATGAAAATATAAAGGTGTCCTATATGGAAAATTCTATAAAAATGTCGTTATCAATCTCCATCAAAAGTTTACTCCCAACCAACTCGCATAAGAAGAAGAGCTTAGGTATTTGTATTACTGTTGCACTGCGGAGTACTGGTGATATGTTCTGCTCTTTGTCGACTGATTTGATGATCTTTGAGATGTAGTCGAATAAATGTCTGTGAAATATAGTAAGAAAGTGTGAATGAGTAAAGAAAGAAACTAAGGAAAAATTCTAAAAGGATGTGTGTAAAGACATGCTCTTAGAAAACATGAACGACTTATAAAAATGGGGGAGCAGTTGATGTACACTTTTTTCGTTGGGCAGTGTACACGAGGGAAATCAAACTATTACTGAATTCTTATGGAAAACTTTAATGTATTTACGCACCTTCCTTTTATTCAACGTAGATATTGTTTTCATGTATTGTACCCGTATCCTATACAGCCAATGATTGCTTAATTAGTAGTAGTAGTATTTATTGAGCTAGGTTTGGTCATAGTTACAAGTAGTTCACAAGATTGTGAAGAAGATAGTTTAATTGTACTTCAGGCAATTATGTAACATGAACTATTACTAGATTGAGATTGCTTAACGTGTAAAAGAGAGAAATACTTGTTGTTTTCCCATAAAATATATGTTGCTACATGCGTTTGCCAAAGTAATGGTCAATAACAAACAATTATTATATTCGATCTCTTCATAGTAGTTTTCGTTGGATAGTTTTTGCAAAAGATTATTGTAGCGGTCTATGACTTACTGAGTGATCCTCAAAATCAAACTGCTTCTTCTCAATTTGATCCTCAATACACTACAAAACTGAATCAATATATAACTTCTCTCGCTGATACTACACGGTGGAACACTTTACTGGCTCAATAACCGATGAACATTAGTGTGGACAAAGTGTCTAAAGACGAATTGACGAATCGCAATTTTTGGGCGTAAAAATGATGCAACAATTCGCATTTTACCATTGTTTTGCGAATTCGCAGCGAATTCGTAATTCAGTGCGAA